GGATGCGTCTAGCTGCTTAGCTCTGCATATGGTGTTCGGAAAAAAAGGGTATTACAGAAAGAAAAAATAATAATAATAATAAAAAAAAAAGGATACATAAGTGAAAGTTCCCATAGAACCTCCAGAATTTAATTATTTCATTGGACTCTCGCACACCCGGCCGCGGCCAAGAGCCAGGGCAGCCTCGGGAGCTCCCGGCAAGGACGGGAGGAGCCGCGGCGGCGGGGGCAGAGGGGTTCACGCTGCCCCCAGGGCCCCTCGCCGGGAGGGGAGGGCAGCTCCGGGCAAAGCATCCCCCGGGACCGCCGGGGACCCCCGGGACCCGCTCGGGACCGCCCAGTTCCGCCCGGGACCCCCGTCCCTGCCCTGCCCGGCCCTGCCCGGGACTCCCGCGGGAGCGCGCCGGGCGGGGCTCGCGCTGCGCGCCGCCGGAGGGGCGCGCGCCCCGCGGGGGCGCCGGCGGCGCCACAGCGCCCCTGGCGGGCGGCCCGGGCACTGCGGCGGGAGGCGGCGGAGCCCGAGCCCCGCGAGTTCCCCCGGGCCGGGGCAGCGGCGGGGCCGCGCGAACCGGGGCGGGGAGCGCCCACCCGGCCCCGTCACCCGCCAGCCCTGCGGGTCGAGAAGCGATACACAGGCACCGGCCGTGGGGTTCGAAGCGGGGGGAGAACTGTTCGGTGGTCGCCGAGTGCCCCCCGCCCGCGGAACCCCTCTCCCGCGGGTGCGCGGTGGTGGCCGCACGGCTCTAGCCCCGGTGCGGTGCGGGCGCGCAGCCCCGCGGGACTCTTCCCCGCCCTGCCAAGGTCAGCACGCGGCACGGCGAGACCCCCACCGCGGACACGAGTGGGGTGGGGAGGGCACAGACCCGCGCACCGCGAAGTTTCTGGCGGGGGAACCGGGGGGCTGCGACGCGGGGTCGGAGCGCGGAGTCACGCTGCCTTTCGGGGCGGCGAGCGGCGGTCCCGCAGCACAAAGGGAGCTCCAGGCAGCCCCACGAAAGAACAGCAGCGCGCAAGGACCCCCCCCACCCGCGCTCGCTCCACGCCGCCGGGCGCTGCAATGCACCGGAGACCGGGGACACCGCGCCGGGAGCGCGGAACCGAGCCCGTGCTCCACTCACGGCCCCACTCGCGGGCAGCGCAGCCCGCAGCCGGGAGAGTGCTGTGGAGCGGGAGGAGACCCAACGCTGGGGCCGCCCCGGCAAACGGGCCCCCGCGGTCCCTGGCGCATCCTCCGCGCCCGCGGGGTGCCCCGCCGGCTCCCTGCGGGGGTCGCAGACACGTGTGGACGAGGCACCGGGAGCCCCCCCAGCCGCCGCGCTCACTCACCGGGGAAGCACACCACATCATGGAGCACGGAGCTGGTGATTTTCAAGAAAAAGATCCACCAACACGGTTGCAGTAGCCTCCGCATGTCCAAAGCCGCACATCGAAAGGGGAAAGGGGCTAAAAGAATTAACACACAGGGGAAGGAAAAAAAAAAGGGGGGGGGGGGAGGGGGCAAAAAAAAAAAACTTGTTGAAAATAAGTTTCTCCCCGCACCCCTGTTCCTGCGGGAGAAAGCGGGGGGCTCCTGCTCGCCTTCTCTACGGGGAAAAAAAAAAAAAAAAATCCCCCAAGCGCGGGGCAGGGGGAGGACAGAGAGGAGCGGCGGCGGGGCGCGGAGACCCCCCCGCGCGGCTCGGCGGGCGCGGGGCGGCGCGGCTCAGGCGGGCAGCAGCGGCGGGGCGCGCATGCCGCGGACGGGGCGCTCACAGCCGCCTCCGCGCACGGGCGGGCGGGCGGCGGTCAGCCGGGGCCCCGGCGCGCTCCATCCTGCCGTACAGGAAGTGGCGGGCGAGCCCGGATCCTGGCGGAGACTTTAAAGCGGGGCGAGGGAGAGAGAGCGCGGCGCGGCGGCGAGGCGAGGCGAGGAGAGGCGGCGGCGCGCCGGGCGCCCCGGCGGCGCGCCCCCGCCGCCCTTAAAGCGGCCGCGGCGGCGGGGCGGGGGCGCGCTCGTGTACGCGCTCCCCCGTGCACGCTCCCGCCCCGCCGGCTGTGTGCGTGTATTCGTGGAGGACGGTGTGTCGCCGAGCCGCGGAAATTCGCCGTTTGCAATTTCGGGTTCCGCGCTCTCGCCCCGGCGCTGTCTGCTGGAAGTTTCTTGTCTCGCTCTGCCGCCCCCCGGTGCGTGCTGAGAGGGGGTTCTGTCCTTCGTGGTACCCCCCTGCTTGTGTGCATCACTCCGGGTGCTGTCAGAGGGGTCCGACCCCCCCTCCCCGCCCCAAAACCACGCAGTTTCCCATCCCCTTCGAATCTCGCAGCTCAGTGCTGTGCCGGGTATTTCCAGAAATCCTCATGGAAATCATACAGATTTTGTTCTCCTCCAGTGATATGTGTCTTTTTGGGTGCTGCAAGCGACACCTCCACCCCCACTACCCCCAGAATCACGTAGATTTTTCCTCCCCCAGTAATACTCATCATTCTGGGTGTCGCTGCAAGCATCCCACAAAATTGCTAATTTTTTTCCCAATATTGTGCATTATACTACATATTTCCAGAGAGCTACCTCAAAATGAGAGAATTATTTGATGTTTCTGTAAAGTCAGATGAAGGCTATCCCAAGCCACTCTGCATCTACAACCCCTCCATGCCTCGTCGGCAGTTTCTGAATGGGTGATAATTGTGCACAGGAAATAGAAGCAGAAAATGGTGTGAATCCAGGATGAAGGGATGGTTGTTTGTACTTGGTATTTCCTGGCTGTGCTGTGGTCTGCTGATGCTTAAATTTCATTCAGTGGTAGTTTTTGTCTCTTTGTTAATTACATCCATTCCAGGCATTCAGTTTCAGAAAGGAAAGGGTTTAGCCAGGTTTATCAGCGAGTAGTGTGCGCAGCTCTGGCTCTGTCATTTGCTATGCTCCTCTTCACTTACCTGCAAACCTTCCACATTTCTGGTGTTTCCAGAGGAGAGGAGATGGTCGGCAGGAGGAGGAACAGAGTAGGAAAATACAGAAGTCCTTTGTGGAATGGCAGTGATTTTCTCTCCCTCTTCCTCAGCTTAGGGGTCACTAAAGCAGTGCCATCAGGTAATTGGCACCTCCTGCAAGGGGTTTTGTGTCCATCCAGGTTTACCCCACTCAGCACAAGATGCCAAGGCAGTGGATTATGCTGCATCCAAAGGGCCCCTCATCAGGAGACATTTGGAGCCTTTCCTTTGATTTTCTCCAACATACCAGGTCGTGACTGCCAAAAATCACAGTTGAAGTTAAAGGTGCAGTCCTTATTGGCCAAAACTGCTCGTCCCAGTAGGGATTTTTCAAGTGTAAGGATTTAAGGACCTGATTAGATATTCTCTGCCCTTGAGGACACTACCCATTGGGGTGTGCAAAAATTAGACAAGGTACTTGTGTATGGATTTGTCTAAAGCAGAACAAAAATTTATAGGCCTTGGAGAAAGGTCTCATCCAGCTTGTCCATTAAATCATTTCCCAGAACATGGTTTCAACTCTTATAAAAACAAAGAGACAATTTTAAGAGCTAAATTTTCCTGAAGTTTCTTTTCCTATGAAAATCAAAATCAAATGCCCTCCTGCCTTGACCTTTTGGATTCTGCCGTGACATCTGGGCTCAGTTACTTATTGGGCTGTTCAGAAAAAAACCTGCAAAATATTCCCCTTTCAGCAACTGATTGCAATTTTGCTGTTCTATTTCAGCAGATAGAGAGGCAGGTTCTACACCAATACTGAGACCTGCCTCTTCAAATGATGTCTCCCTAGTATCATAAGAGGCAATCTTAAGGTTTTTCAATCTAAAAGTGGGCTTCAACAGGTCTCATTACATGAGAAAAGTTATTACACACCATTGCAATATCACAAAAGAAGAGTAAAAGCAGTGGATTTCTTTTCAAAGAGCAGTTTGAATTAGTATTTTTCTCAGTAATTCAAAATCCTTTGGAAAAGCTGTTAATTGCACCATTTTATATTTAAACATATTTTTAAATTCGTTTAGGGTTTTCTCTCTTGGAATATGAGAAACCTGAAACTGGACCCATATCTTGGAATTGGAGGAATTTTGCATTTTCCATTCTTGGCGCAAACATGAAAGTAAGATATAAAATGCATAATCAGAGTAGTGTCTCCTGAGGAGCACAGATGACTTCAGATCTCTCTAAGCTGCTAAGGAAGATTTTAGAATGGCAGAGCTCCCATCAGAAACCAAAGGTGTTCAGGCTGGATATTCACAGTAGTCGCCTCAGGTCTGAACTTCTTAAAACAAATCTGTGAAAGCCCAAAGTCAGCACGACCAGCTTGGTTCAGCCTGATGTGGTACAACATGTACAATGACCCACTTTTCCTGGAGTGGGAAATCAATCATTGCATCGTCACACATCACTTTAGGAGCTGTGGTGGCAGAAGTAGCTTTGTTTCGCATTAGCAATTTGGGTGGGCAGAGAAATGGAAAGATGGATGATGGAGATGCAGAGAACAAAATTAAACACGGTTAAATGAGAATCCATTTCCTGCATGCAGTATCTCTGTGCCCGAGGCACGCTGTCTATCAACAATACACAGGTACAAATTGGCCTGCAGACGGATCTTTAACTACCCAAACACAGCAAACTGCATTAGCAGGATGCTGCTCTGCTGGGCTGGGCCGCCTGGCTGTGGAGCAGCCACATCAGAATATAAAAATCCATCACCAGATAGCACAGCTGATTCTTCCCAGTGACTGAAGTACTGTGGCTGGCGTGATTAAAATAACTGCTGCTGTATTGAAGGGATTGAAAGGGGACATATACCCCAGTGCAGCGAAACCAGGCCAATGGGTGCTCTGCAAATCTTGCAATATTTATGGTGAGCAAAGCAGGTGATGTCAAGGTGAGAGGAATGGGACAAGCGACCCTGGTTTGCTTGGAACAGTGAATAAAAGATAACTTTTATCCTTCTTTCCCCCTTCCTGTTTGAACAAGTAATATTTTTATGCTACCTTCATCAACATACAGGCATGACTCTTGGGAAAGAAATGAAAGTCTGTTAATTTATTTGATCAGACATGAGAAATAATAGAAAACTGAAACGAAGTGTTGTATTTGTCATATGTTTGAATTAGTGAAAAGCTGAAGAAAGCAGAAAAATATTGCAAGGTGAGAGGTTTTATTGAATTAGGAAATTATTAATAGCATTAATCATTTCCAAAACAGGCTTCTTAACATCTATGATGACTATGTAAAAGATTGGAGAAATAAAAATCAAAGAAAAAATTCAGATAGACAAAGTTACACTTCTTTTTATGACTAGAAAGAAAGGGATGAATTTTCCTTGATTTACAGCCAGCCTCACTGGAATGGTTAATCTGTGGGGAAAAGATCAGGTGAGGATCTAGCCCTGAAAGGATAATTCAACATGAAGTATGAAGAAGCAGCTACAGTTCAGATTATAAGTAATGTGATGTATAAACTTTCAGATTAATTCAGCAGCCCTAGTTCCTGTTCAGCTTTGCATGGAAAGGAAAAGAAGGATGCTGAGTTTCATAAATTATACTATTGCAGAATTAGTTTCTCATAGCCCCAGGACAGATGCATTCTTCTCAGAGTATGCTGTGAGGCTTTGAAGGTCTTAACAAGGCATCTGAGAACCTGCTGAGAACCAGAGGTGGAGGGCAAGCAAAGTGCTGTGATAAAAGAGAGGGCTTTACTTCAATATAATCATAGCAATGAGCTGTGCTGTTTGATTTATGAAGATATAAAAATAAATGAACTCAGAGATGCAGGTAAAGCGAAAGGTATGAGAAATGTTAATGGGCGATGCAAACTCTGAGACATAGGCTGTGGGTCAGAGATTGCTGCAAGTGTTACAGGCTGCACACCTACGGTCAACCAGCATGACAGGAATGAGCACTGACTTGAGAGATCCTCCAAGATGTCCTGGCTGGGAAGTGTCCCACAGGGTTTGCACAAGGCTTTTTTGGAAGACCAGTACATTTATTTTCTTGTGTTCTAAAAAAGGAGCCACCACCTTAGGGCAGCCATAGGCTGAATCACTCAGAAGAGACACTGGTCACATGCTGAGATGGCTACTTGAAAACTTCGAATTAACCTTGAAGTCAAACAGTTCTTTTGTCTCCCGAAAAGGCCTCAGAATGATTATGTTTGTAAAAGTGTGTGTGGAGGGTTGGACTGATCAGCAGCGAGTTTCTCTTTCAAAAGCAGCTGTAGTTCAGAGTCCTGTGGTATGACCTTGCTAGGGCTGTGAGTGCGTGTTTAATTCACAAATCCTCTCCTGTTAAGAGAAGAATATAAAAATCTATCATCAGTGTGGCAGCGAGCAGAGCAAGCATGTTCATGACTAGAGCTGAGGGATGAGAAGAAAGAACCAGTTTTTTGTCCTGCTTGTCTGTGACTCAGTGGGAATTACTGCCTTGGCAGAATTAATGTAATTAATGGGACAACAGACTTAGGGTCTTCCATTATTGGTGCAAATATTGTTTGTAGGTTTCAATACTATTTGGGTTCAATGAAAGTCTTGGGATCCTCAGTTGCAGAAAAGCAGAAATGCTTTGAGTGAGAAGGCTCTATCCATGCTCAATGTTTTTCCACTATCGTGCAGCTTGCCAGGGAGATAACTGCAGCTGTTAGGTTTTTCTGCACAGTGAAGTTGACTCAAGGACAGGCAGGGTTTGCAGGCACTGTGAACTCAGGCTGAATATAAGCTGCTGTAAGGAGCAGCAGGGGTGTGGTGTGCTGGATCTAGACATGTTACAGACACAGTTACCATGAGCAATCTTCATGTCCACATTCCAGCTCCCTTGTCTTCCTGGACTCCACAAAGCCAGTATCACAATGAGGTACCCGCTCTTTTAAAGACCTCATGCATTACAAGCAAAACATTATTAAAAACACGGACAAAATTGGTGAGAATGAATAAATTCATTGAAGGTGGAATCTCTGCTCTTCCTTTCTCCTCTTTCAGTCCACTGCTAATTTCTGCCAAAGAAGTTAGTGTGCTATGTCCCTGCCCTCCTGCACACATGTCAGAAAGATGTGTCAGAAGCTGCTGGTGAAGGGTAAAGACACAGGCGTGCTGTGGTCCCAAGGGGAAAGGCAGTAATGACTCTGTAACAATGCATGACCTTCTGTTGTAAACCCATTGCAAATGGTGCCCAAAGCCAGGCCCCTGAAATTGCTCCACAATGAAGACCAATCAAGCAGACTGCAAAAAACACTTTCCTAGTCAATCCCAGGAGAGCACTTTCAAGAAACGAAAATCTCTTCAATAAAAGGTAGAAGTAGACTCCCAATCTGTTTAAGGAAAGACGAGAAAGTTAAAGAGCATCATTTGCCATAGCCATGTTCACTCAGAGATACACGCTGCTCTTTCAATGCAGGAATAAGATGATGTGCAAATGGCTATCTCTTTTAGTTGGTAATGTCTTACAAGAGCTGGTACAGATGTGAATAATTACATTCCAGAAACTAATTCAGCCCTGGTGGGAGGGGGGGGGGGGGGGAGGAACGGCCTTGACAGAACAAGGAAAGAAATAACAATTGTGAGGTACAGAAAAAGTAACTCTTACTTTATTTTGGGTCCCTGTGTTGTAACAGAGAAATGCAGATTGCAGATTACAGCATAGTTCTGTCTTTGCTATTCCTCTCTGGTTTCAGATATCTGTGTTTTTGGTGTTTGAGCATTTTTTTTCTTAAAACATTAAGCAGTTACTCAAGTCTAGGCTTGTGTAAAGCACTCTGGATTTAAGTGTGGACAGGCAGTACATTAGCTAATATGATTCCATTAAAAAAGGATTCCATAGCCAATGCCCCAATTAAATGAAGAAGTGTCAATATTAATAAACCTCCCAAGGAAATGGATAAAATCAGATGTCCCAGTGACCCCTCAGACATGAGTTATTCAGATCAATACATACCCATAAGCACCGATGGAGATAGATCAACAACAACAATGTATCCAGACCACTGAGGTTTGGCACTACAGCACACCCACAAAGTCTCCTTTGTTTTCTCTACTTTTGCTTTCCATTCCCTTATTCTCCAGCGTCAGGAGCATGAGCTACTTGTCTGCAAACTCCAGTTTCTTGCTTGGAGTTTATCCTGTCTCCTCTTGATGCCTGTACTAAAAGGGATTTCTTGGAAGCGTAAAGATGCTGTCCAAAAAGTTGAATAAGCAGTAATCCAAATCCCTGACAGTTTACATCCCTAATGCAACCAAAATGATTTTCATTCATCTTTTCAATTGTCATCAAATACAGATCATTGCAGCTGGGCACAACTCCACTGGGCATTCACTTTCCTGGAACTGCAACTACTTGGGTCCAAGTCAAAGTTTTGCCAGAGCAAGGAGGGATGTGACCAAATACCACAAAAATGCAGTTGTAACTTTCTACAGTGTTTTGCTACTGTGGGAGTGTGGCAAGGCTGTGCCCTTATCTCTTCTGCCCAGATTTCATGTTCATGATATTGTGCCATCAAGGTCTGGTACAATGTGGTACTATGTGTCCTACTCACAGCTACAGTGTTGGAGGGTTTAAAACATTTTATAATTTCAGCATCTCCTTTTGTTGATTTCAGATGAATGAAAGAATAGGATGCCAAGTTCCTGAAAGCCATAAACACAATAAACACTGTGCCCAATTCTACCTTTGTCTATGCTGGTGTAAGTCTAACCTCTCTTCATGCAGCTGACAGGTAATTTGAGACAGTGTAACATGGGACAGAGTTAAACCCTTTAATTTGGAAGAAGACAATTGCTTCCTCTGGCCCATGCCCAAGAAAATATATGTAAGACATACAAAAGATAGTAGCAGAAACTGTAATTTTTTTTTTGGTGGTCTGGGTAAAAATATTGAGTTCTAGACTGAAAACTAGGCTTTTGTAGCTAAGCCCAAAAGGGGGAATGTTTATCATAAGTGACCTGAAGAGGAGTGCAACTAACGTGTTTTGAACCTTGAACTGTTATGTTAGTCCACACAACATTATAATGCCACTTTTAACATAACTAATGGTGTCCAAATAGATTTTAGCATCTATTAAGGGTATCATCTTAAGCCACATTGGTGGGGAAAAAGGAAACTGAGAATTAAATCGTTCAGACTAATTCATAGCAAACGAATGTGAGGCCTCATCATTCCATCCACAGCATGCCAGTTAGTAAAATATTAAAATATTACACTTTTTTTTTTTTTTTTTTTTTTTTTTTCCTGTAGCAGAAACAGAACAGAATGCCATTATCTCTCGGGGTCAATATTAATTGCAAACCGATGGCCACTTGTGAGCACAGGAGCGTTCCCCGGGCCGCGTTTGCTGCCCCGGCCCGGGGCTGAGCCGGAGGCGGCTTCGAGCCACACGGGGGAGTCGCAAAGCGCGCTCGGCCAAGTTCGCTCTCATAAATCACTCCTTGGAAACCCGATTTCTGCGTGCTGCCGCCTTGTCAGTCTGTCTGGGAGATAACACGAGATCTGCAGCGCTTAGCGCAGCGAAAAGCAAAGCTGGAAGCATGGGTTTCTGTAACAGAACGGCCTCTGAGTACGGCGGGTCGGGCTTTTTGCAGGGGGAGAAATCTGTGCCACGCGTGATTCTCTTCACTGAACGCTGAGCCACCAGCTTGCCTGGTGATGCCATGTGGGACACCAAGGAAAGTTAAAGAAATCTCAGCCATCAGTAATAAAGCACTGGCGATTTTGTGTAATCCATGGGGAAAGCAGGGGGTGTGGCAGGCTCATGGCGTGACACGGAATCTCCCAGCGCTGGAGCAGGAGCCAGGCCGGTGCCATCGCATTTCTCATTGCAGTGATCGCACAGCCTTCCGCCACACAGCTGCAGGAATAGCGGGCACGGGCCGCGGTGTGGGCAGGCCCTGATGCTCCTGTCCCAGGATGTAATCATCCTGGTATCCTGGCAAAACCCACCTGCAGTAAGCACAGCCACGAGCAGTGGACATACAGCCTGAAAATCCTGCAGCCGTGAACCATCCTCGTTCCCCGAGTCCATCCCAAGCTGGAGGACACAGCGCTGATGCGGGTCCTGGGCAATGCACAGAGGGAGGTTCAGACAGACATCTCTCAACATGGTTTTCTTGCAGTACTCCGGCCATCCTAAGAACATTCCCTTGGATTTTTATACATCGTTCTTATGACCTTACCATATCACACAGGAGACTTACTTTCCCAGCTTATTGTTACCTGCTGCTAATCCAGACGGCTGCTCACACAATACCCCATTATCCAGCAAAACAACACGTCCTGACAAACGCTGCTCAGCGAGCACTGGCCACCAATCCGAGAGAGACGGGGTCACTGCTGAACAATACCAAGAGAGGTCTCACTAGCTTCTTCTCCCTCCTCCATTCAATGAGCTGTTAATAGACAAGCTGTTAGAGAGAAAAAGAACTAAACAGTTTACAAGCTTACATTTGAAGGCCTGTGAATTGCATTAGCTGAGCCAGCTGAGCGAGAGCCAAGGCAATCTCCCCACGATTGTAGAAAATGGCATTGAGGCATGTGGAGGCAAAGAAAGAATGACAGTGACCAGGTTTACAATATGCAAAGCTGAAATAATTACTGCTTTCTGTGGCATAGAATTTGTAGTTGAACTACCATATGGAATCAAAGCATTCAGTTAAATGCACAAGTGTGTTTGTGTGTTCATATTTTAAAACTTTCTCTCTTCTATGCAAATATTTATTTACAGTGTTAATAAAAACTTTCTGAAGCTGTTTTTTATTATTTCCTCATTGGACCCCCTCCTACCTCTCATTCTCTACTGCAGAGGCCACTCTCAGTATGAGAAATGACCACAGTATTTTTCATTACTCTCTGGGTTTTTTGGGGCCTAGCAGTTATGAATACGAATGTGAACCACTTTCAATACAATTACCTGGACAATAATCTGGGATCTGTGGAGCTGGAATGTGCAACTGAAAATATTTGTAACCCTTTGGTTACCAGCCAAGTGATTGACATAGTTCTTTTTCATATTTCATTCTGTCCTTCAATTTTACCAGAGGGGGGGAAAAAATTGAAAAGTAGCAGAACTAGACAAATTAATAATAGTGAAATAGAAAAATTGAAAAGTAAATAATGGAACTATCAAATCATTCATTTTAAGACTTTTTGTGGCAGAAAAGATGAAGGAAAGAACAGTTAAAGACCAGCCACTATTGAACAATCATAGTTCAAAATTTCTACCTTTGAGAAAAGCTCAGAAACTTTTAAGGGGACCATAGCTTCAAAGAAAAGGATTGGTGCGGATAAAATACACGTTCAGGTAAGAGATTTCAACTTGCTTAGTAATTTTCTTCTTTCTATTGTTCTCCCCATTTTTGGTAGTCTTTGGTTAGAGAGAGGGCAGGTGCTGTCTCTAATGCAGGGCTGCAATGCCAGCAGGAAGGGCTGAGGGAGCTGGTTTAATGCAGCCCTTACAAACAGCCTGAGGGACTCAGGCAGTGGCTGCTGGGGCTTTCAGCGAAGGACACTGGTGGCTTTTGCTGTAACCTCCACTAATGGGCAGCTGTCTTTGACAGCTCATTCAAAGTCCAGTTAAAGCCACAAAAATAAGCTTGACAGCAACCACAACTCTGTTTTTTTTTAAAACAATTTTTTGGTACATTATCACATAGCTCATTCACAAACTGGACTTACTTGGGTCAGTGATCCAGAAAACAACTTTTCCAGTCAGACTTCAGCTTTGCCCATTAAACTTTGTCTCAAAATCTGAGTATATTTACCAAAGAGAAACCTTTTAGTCATGCTTAGAGTACCAACCATCTATTGCTTATATCTGAAAGGAAAGTAATCCAGCATCCCTCTACATGTGGCAAGAATTTCTGCCGCTATTTTAAGACCAATGGCAAAGCTCATGTTGGCCTTAGAATGGACAGACTGACTTCTGAATTGTTAAATGCTCTCTTCTGGTTCCAGTCCCACAGTGTCAGTGCAGGTAAATCAGTTTCTGGAATTAGTCACCTGAGATCCGATCAAGTAGAGATTATGGATTTTCAGGTCCTTGATTATGAACATTTTTCAAGTAGGCTGAGAAAAATTCTCTTTGGAGGCTTCAGAGAAACCATCATGTCAAGAGCATTTTTTTTTTAGTGAAAGGCTGAGGATTTATCTAATCAAACCTGGGAATCATTCTCTTTTGTTTTGCTGGGATCGTTTTCCTGAGCTGTTCAGTGTTCCCCTCCTCTTAGATCCTTTCATTCAAGTTAGTAGTTTCCTTATATTGGCTGATCTTTATTTCTGCTTTTAATATTCTCTATTGATTTTATTGTAGTGCACTTACATGCTGTTCAACAGTCGCTTATTACTGTAAATAAAATGAGATAAATAACTTGGCTTTCTTTCCGCATGTGAAATATTTGGCAGCAGCCATCCCCACCCTTAACTGAGCACTTGACAGTGTCACTGTCAGTATGTGTGAGGGCAGCTCTGCATGCCCTCACATGTCACCAGTGCCCGTGCTGCTTAAATAAAGCTGGCTTGGGCTCTGCTGATATTACTGCTGGCTTTATCTAGCCAGCAGAGGTACCAGGGGCATCTGTGCTTCTGCTGGATGTGCAGATGGAGGCAGCTGCCCTCTTAGACACTGGCAGCAATTGCAGTGTTAACACGGGCATCTGTGACCAGCCAAGATATTGCTTATCTGCAGTGTATGGCAAAGTCACTTAGGCTCCTGTTTTCAGATCAGGCAGGTTTTATTTCTATCTATCACTGACAGACTCGGGCTTAACCGGTCACTTAAATAACAGTGATAAGATCCAAACCACAGCTTCATCTCTTTTCCCTCTGTGACTCTGCAGACTCTCCTTGTCCTCAGGGAAATAACCAGCACAGTCAGAGTCCAGGAGGTGCATTCCTTTGGCCAGCAGGAGTCTGTATGGCATTCCCAGCAGCTGCCCTCCCTCCAGAGCCCTTGGTGCTGGCTCTGTGGCAGCTGGAGGCCGAAGGCTCTGCTGAAGGGCTGGGGCAGCTCCAGGGCAGCCCCTGGCACTGATCCTCAGCCTGTGCTGGGCCGGGCTCTGGAGCTGTGCCCGAGCCTGGGCCTGCCTGGGAGCACACACAGCTTGTCCTGGCTGCTTGGGGCACTGACAACAGCTGACTTGGGCGCTTGACTGAATGCCAAGATCTGCTGGAAGCCCTGCAAGGAGGCCAAGTTCATTGTTATTTCCCCCTGCCCCAGACAGATCGGGCTGGGAGCTGCTCCAGCAGTGCCCAAGACTGGCTGCACCACCAGTGGTACTGATGTCCTCTGCCTCTGCCAAGGCTGCAGATCTCAGTCTTACTGCAGGTGATGCTTACTCCCCTTAAATCCTGTGGGTTTATTTCCTGTTATTGTCTGTAAGCCAGCTCTGAAGATCAAACCTGGGTGGAGGTTCAGATCAGCGCTGCCAATAGTCATCTGTATTCGTTCTCCAGGAATATACAGATGTATCTTCCTGCTGTGCTTTGTGTGGCTGCAGCCCAGATAGCCTCTAAAACACATCTTCACATGGGGTATGTTCACATCCAGACATGCTGAAACAATGCCAACATTTTATCTGATGTCTCAAATTTTAAAGTATGGAGTTACCATTTTTATTTATTGACTCATTTTTATTTGAATACATACTTGAGATCTAAAAAGATTTTATTCTTTTGATTTTGTTATTGTAAATGCAAATCTATTCCAGTTAGTTAATGCAAACTGCTTTGAAAAGAGCTGCAGAATATCCCTGTAAATATTGTGCGGAAGCAAATAATTAAAATAGTCAAAATAAAAAGTTAAAATCACATGACTTTAAGAAAGCACATAAAGAGTAATCAAGCAGAATAAAACCAAATAAGATTAATTGGAAGTTACAGACTCAGTATATGGTGTATTGTATTCTTTGGACTGAACAGAACTGCATGCTGTGCAAGGGTGTTCTGAACTCCATTAAAGAGTAATCTTTGTACACAACAGTAGTGCTGTGTAAATAAATGTTGTGAGGCAAAATAAATAAGTTTTGAGAAATGAATGACTCTAGCAGGAGTTTGTCAATTAATTAGAACAAAGAGGGAAGTCTAGCAAACAACACAAAGAGATAAACAGGGAAGATTTCACGTTTCCATAACAGCTTTTGGTATTTACTTTACTTTTTGCTAATTCTCCCTGTCAAAAGCTTAGTGGGATTTTCTTTGAAGGGGAAGGGGGCCAAGAGGGTGTGGTGGCAATTTTGCTCACTTCTGAAATGCTGTCTTTGGGTTTTTCCTCAAAAAAGGTTAATTGTAACTTGATCATTTTGTTTTACCGGTGCAAAGGAGTGTGAACTAAAATAGAGAAAGAATTACAGAGGATTTAGTTAAGTTACATGTACTGTAGATAGCAAGACCTGTTCCCCTGAAGTGGCTAAGGAGTTAACCAGTGCAATTGCATGATTATTAGTTATCATCTCTCAGAACCTGTGGAGGGTAGGTCAAGTCCCAGAAAACCAGAGGACAGATATAGTACCTGCTTTCAAGAAAATGGAAAAAGGACCTCTCAAGAAACCATGTATTTCTCAGCCTAACTTTAAACAGGTTAAAACAGAAAAAAAAATAAATTAGATATTGTAACATTTGTAAATGACAGCATTTTGGAAGGAACTGGAAATACTAGAGCACCATAATTAGGACTAGTGCTCTTAGTAAACCAGGGAAATTATTCCAATTTAACAAGGTCACATTCACTCAAGTGAAATGAAAAGAGCTATATATAGGCAGGAGAAGGCAAATTTCTGCACACCAAAAAGGCAGGAGAAGCCTGGAAGATCTGAAGGTGATAACATCCACAGAAAATGAGAAGTGAGATGTACTCATAAGAAAGCAAATCTTGTAAAATGTACTACCAGTAGCACTGCTTGTACCATGACAAACATCATTACTCTGCTGTGCTCAGACGTATTGGAGGTTTACCAGTTTACCCAGAATGTGGTTTAAGTACCATATTTTTAAATAAAAGGTTCAGTCCCACTGGACAGGAACAGGAATAAATAGAAACCTATAAACTATGAGAAAAGGTTGGAGAAACTGAATTTGTTTCCTGTACACAATTGAGGAGGGTTTGATAACAGACTTCCAGCATATAAGAAACCACTAAAAGGAGGTACTAATCCATTGTCCTTTGAGGTTAGGGCAAGAAATATTGCTTTAATTTCCAAGAAAGGAGATTTGGGTTATCTTTCTAACTATAAACCTAGGTAAACACTGGAACAGGCTGCTAGAGTGTCTGTAGAATCTCTATTACTTAGAGTCTTAAAAACCAGATCAGATAAAAGAGCTGTCAGCCTTGCTGGATATATTTGATCCACATTCCTCTGCAGAGATGGGCTACACCAAAGATCGTCTAAGCTCCTCGTCAGCCCTCCCTTCCTCAGCTCCTGAAATGCTGTAGTTGCACTTTTGTTGCACTCACACACAAATTTTAATAAAAACCAAACATACAATCAATCAATGCAAAAAGGAACTTGAGAAGGTGATTCTTGGCATTGCAAAGATCAGAGGTGAGTAAAAACAAGTCAGTATTTTTTTGCTGATTCTGTTTATTCCAAATCCATCTGAGTTTTAAGAGAAGTACAGGACTTAAACAAAGAAGGAGGACGCTGAAGGTGGAGAAGGCAGAATTGGGAAATAACTGTTGGGAATAACTATTCTGCTACCCATCTTTTAAGACTGTATTGTATCTCCTGGAAGAAGGGGGGAGATGTGGTTCTCTTTTTTTCTTCTCTCTGTTTTTGCAGAGTCCAGGGAGAGTTGCATGACCAAGAACTCAATTGGAGCTGAAAGGAGCACACCAAGGGGTCACTCTGGACATCGTGGCCAGCATTTCCATGTTCTGGTCTAGCCCCACACTGTCTGTGGATGGAGACAGAGAATCCCCAGAATGGAGCCCAGGGGATATGGAGAGGCAGCAACAGAGGAAAGCAAGAGAGTGGTTCATGCAGATTCCTCCCCCACACTGAGGAGGCTCATTCCCCACACATGGGTGTCCCAACACAGAAATTTGCAGGGACAAAAGTGGCAGATTCAGCAAACACTGGGGGGTAGTTTAATATTTCTTTAACTATCCTCAGGCACTATTTTTTTTTCTGTATGTTCAATTAGACTGTGGATTTATTGATAAATAAATCAAGTCTCTGCTTTCAATTTTTGCACTGAGGGAAGCCACAGCTGAGTAGCAGAATTTCAGAAATACATTCATCTAAGCATGTGAAATTCTCTTTGGTCTTTCAATCCTCTTGCATATAAACTACTCTTACCATATTTATGGAGTACCAGCTTTTCAACACTTATTTTATAATCCATAGTCCTCTGCCCTTTTGCAAATAACTTCTGTTTTGTCCAGAAAGGCAGCCTCTCTCAGCTCACACAGCCTATGTGTTCATGCCAGTCTGCATTATTTATATCTCCACTAAAGCCATTCCTCTTTTCCATGTTCTTGTAATGGTGTCTATCATGTAATGTTTGGGCAACTATTTGTTGTCGCTGATGAGACTTTGGCCACTGCTCCCACCTTTATGGTACAAGCTTTCAGCAGGGTTTTGAATTGTTGGGCATCCAGCAGAGTCTCAGTAGCAGCAGATGTCCATTTCACAAGTGAGTTATCAGAGGTATCTAAGGATGTTTGGAGTTTGATCTCTGCTTTTCTGAATGATGCCTTTTCATTTTGAAAACTCATGGTGTTGATGCTTGCTTCTAAGCCATCATAGCTTTTTAAGTTTCATCCAGCAAGACATCAAAGTCAGAGCCCACATCATATATTTCTTGCTCAATTACACCAAGAGAAGTGTAGATTTTCTTTGGACAAGTTGCAAGCAGTGGTTCCTACAGATTAAGTCCCTGTTTGAAAATATCTGTACTTCACAGCTGAGGGATGAAGAGACCAATACTGTCCTCTTTCTCTTCCTGGTGTAAATGCCTTCACTAGGAAAGATCCCTCCCAATCCTACCCATTCTGAGGCTCAGAGAAGTGCACGGTGACATCAGGCCAACCCTGATTCACTGATTCCTGTGGATTCACCACCATTCAGGCCATTCCCTGGTTCATGTGGATTCCCCACTCCTTCCATCCCCTCTGCCAGCCCTCAGCAGCTCTGTGCTGCTGGCTCCCCAGGGGAACCACAGGCTCTCTCAGGGACTGGGCTGGCAGGAGGCGATAGCTGCGAGTCCTCCCACAGCAGCTCATTCTGTCGTGCCCTGCAGAGGCATTTGAGATTTCTAGCACAGCACCTTCTGCTGAGCTACTTACACATTAAAGGAATGCCCTATCCCTGCAGTGGGATACACCTGGGAAATAATCTGTTCCCAGGAGTTGCACAGGAGTTGCTTCTGGGT